TACCTAACTCAGCTGTCTATAAGAGAACCTCCAGCCTGTGAAGTATAGTTCCCATACCAGCTGTACTGAAGTTTACAGGTGAATTACGCAAAGACTAATCAAAGCAGACAGAGGGTCTAGCGAGTCTCACTCATTTTCACTTAAAAAGTGCACAAAAGTATTGCTATAAACAACCTTTGATAAATGTGTCGACTTGAGCATCCGCCACCCATAGATGACGATCTCCTGGGCAGCACACACACACTCCTCATACACAGTCGTGAGGCAGTAAAGCACTGAACAGAAGACAAGAAAAGTTATTTGATATTCTCTGATTTCCTTGGAACCAATGTCTAATATAGGGCTAGACCAAGGATAAACTTGAACGGGTCCCCGAACCCCCTAAAACTATGCAAAAGATAGTGTTGAGTCAGTATGGTGATACACAGCTGTAACCCCAGGTAGTAGGAAAACAGAGGCAGAAGGATCCCAAGTTCAAGGCCAGCTTGAGCAATTTAGAAACCCTGTTCAAAATAAAATTTTAAAGGGGTTGCACTTACCTAGCATGCTTGAGGCCCGGGGTTCAATTCTCAAGTGAGGCAAAAATGTAAAAAAGTTTTTAAAAATAAATAAACTCAGTATTGAGAACCTGACAAAAGATAATCTGTATCTCAGAGGGCCCAATATCTAAAATAGGATCGGCACTAACCTCAGGTTACTGTTAACTCAACAGAGAGAAGAAATTTAACCCTGTGGCTGCTTCAACTTTCCGAAAGAAATCAACAGGGCTTGGACTGGGACAATTCTGAGACGCTCCTAATATTTTAGTTATCTCCTATTCTTTTCAAGAACTGGCCAACGAATTGTCTTACCACTGTCAAAATTTATTAAAAGATTCAAAAAATGGTCCTAAGCCAGGCATGGTGGCACACACTTATAGTCTTAGCATTCCGGGCTGAGGCAGGAGGCTGAGACGGGGGACTGCTAGGAGTTCAAGGCCAGCCTGGGCTACACAGTGAGACCAGGTCAGCTTGCACTACATAGTGAGACCCTGTCTCAAAACGAAACACCAAAACAAACAAAAATGGCCCTGAAAGGGGGTAATGAAATAACGAGCACTCCTCTCTCTTCTCACAAGTATATCAAGCAAACATCAACAAGCTGCCTGCCTCCTCTGGTTTCAGCATCTGCTCTCCAAAAGGATCTACTGACCAAGGAGCTGATTTCTTTCAAAATTAAACATTCAGAGGTGACATGACCCTAAGGTAACTACTGCTTGACTTCTTGGTCATTTTATGGAGACTTTAAGACACCTATATGGATCTAGGTGTGGTAGTACACACTTGTATTCCCAACACTTTAGGAGGCTGACGCAGAAGGATCGCAAGTTCAAACCCAACCTGGGCAATTCAGCAAAAGCCCCATTTCAGGAAAAAACAAAAACAAAAACTTGGGAATGTACCTCTGGGAGAAGGTCCCAGGTTCAATTACTAGTACAAAGAATGAAAGAAAGGAAGGAAGGAAGAAAGAGAAAGGAAGAAAGGAAAAAAGAAAAAGACACCTGTATGAAGATGCTAAGGTGCCATGGGTAGAGAGAGATGTGTTTTGGAGCAATCAGAACTCTTTCTTGACCTGCATACTCTGCCTTGAATCCACCCTTTCCTCCCTCCCAACAGGAAAGGGGTCTGACAGTCTGTTTTCATTGAGGAAATACAAATAGTACTGTTAAAAGTTAATTTGAAAGCTAGGCCTGGTGACATGGACTGTAATTCCAGCACTTGGGAGGCTGAGGCCGGAGGATTTTGAATTTGAAATCAGCCTGAGGTACATAAATTCAGAGCCGGTCCGGATTACCTAGCTAGACCCCGTCTCACGTTTAAAAAAAAAAAGTTAGTCTGGCAGCTCTACAACGTCAAAAACAAGTTTCGTTTCTTTTTCCAGCTGTAACACACTCCCACATTCCCTGCCTCCCGATCACAGTATCTCTTCAGTAACAAAATTGAGTCTTCGCCACAGGATTCACTTTCTCCTAAGCCACACACTCCAAACAGTGGTGCTTGGGCACCAAATAAATTATACCCCACAGTAAAATTCAGGCATTGCGGACATCTAAGCAGACCCCCCGAGAGGAAGCAAACGGCGGCTTCCAGGAGCCGAGCTCGCGAAGCTCCGGGTGTCGAGCAGGGGGCCGGCAGAGCTGCTGCGCCCTGTCCCTCTCTCTCTCTCGGGGCAGCGACACTGGCCCGCCGGCGCGCCGCGGCTCTGGCCTACCTGGTCCAGCGTCCGTCTCGAGCGGCCTCCAGTCCGCGCATCTCTCGGAGCAGCGCTGCTCCGGGGACTTCGGGCCGGCACCAGGCACGGTCCGCGCCCCGGGCCGGCGGAGCCCGCGGCTCGGCTCAGAGCGGCTCGCTCCCCGCTATCCGCCGCCGGCGCGCGGCGCCCGGGCTCCCCAACCTCCAGCCGGCGGGGCGCCCAGCGGCGGGCCAGCACCCGGAAGGCTCGGCCGGCAGCCTGTCAGGATGCTCAGCGGCGCTCGGCCCAAACCCCGGCCCCGCGCGCGCCCTCTTCAACCCCGCGCCCGCCGCCACCCTCCCCCGGGGAGTCAGGCGGGTCTTTCGGCCCGGCTCCTGTCACTCACCAGCCCGGGCCAGGATGCGGGCGCCCAAGGCTCCCCAAGGGAGCTGCGCCCCCCGGGCCTCCAGGTTTCGGCCCGCCCCCTGGCAGGCGGCGCAGGTGCTGAGCCCCGCAGCAGCGGCCCCGCACAGGCCGCTGGGTCCAGCTCCCAGCGCTGCCCACTGGGTACGGATCAACAACAAGATGGCGGCCAGCCGAGGGGGCGGGGGCCGGGCGTCATAGTAACCAAGACGGCAAAAACCCGCCCCTAACTGAAACTGTCGCCAATCAGCAGCCTCTGCATCCGACGCCCGAGGAGCGCTTCCCGCTGACTGGTCAGCTGGCCCGTCAGGCAGAACCTGCCTCTCGCACCCGGCTGAGAACGCCTGGAGCACGTGACTGTGACGGCAATAGTTGGCGCATGCGGGCGGTTCTCAAGAGTAGCCGGCGGCGGAGCTTTAGCTGGTTACCCCAGGCCAGGGCGCCCTTGGCTTGGCATCTTTGCCTGCGCAGCTCCCGAGTGTCGGTCCGACAGCATCTTGTTGTACTCACGCGCGTACTTAGGAGACGTCAGCGGTGTGCTGTTTGCTTTCTTTGTGATGGGATGGGAAGGTGGGGGGTCCCTACCCGGGTTCACTCGTAAGGAAGCTGAGGCGTAGGGGGAGGCTGGCCCAAGGTCGTGCCGCTTCTGACAGTGGATCTCCCACCACCTGCGTCATCTAGAGTGTAAAGAGCCTCTTCCCAGAGGCTCCCTCAGCTACACCCCTCACTAGTCCCAAGATGCAGACTTCTGTGTTACCTCCACAGCGTCTGGCCCGTTTCTCATGATTAAGGCCCCAGCGCAGGTCCTGGCCCGCACTGGACACTCCCTCCTCTGCTCTGAAGCAGCTTGTCTTGACTTCCTATGACAGCATCTTTTGCCCAGGACCTGCCTCCAAGGCAGACCGTGAGTCCTGTGAAGATGGTTATCCTAACCTTGAGCTGGGCTTCAAGGTCAGGAATCCAAATGCAGGCACAGGGCCTGGTCCCACATCCCAAGGCCCCAACTAGCTAGGTAACTCGGTGGCTTCCAGGCCTTAGTAAAATGAGGATAAAAATCAAGCCTCTCAAAGATGCAGATTGAATGAGCCTTTAGAGCAGGCTAAATACTGTACTAGGGAAAATGCCACCTACAGCCACTTCCAGTTTGCTCAGCCCGAGGCCTGCTCTGTCACTTTGGTGGGTACCCCATTGAGAATGCTTTTCACAGAAGGCACTCAGCTTCTTTCTGGACTTGAATGCCATGATCAGCTGAGGAAGGAAGATTGTTCAGTGCCCTGAGAAGTTCAGGTCTGTAACTTGACAGAAGTGAAAGAAGTGACTTGGGGGATCACCAAAAATGTAGCCTCCAACCAGATAGCAGATCCTCATGGAGGAGTAGCAGCCTGAGATCTGATGCCAGGCTGGGCGGAGGAGAGGGTCAGCGTTATGCCCAGCAAGACCTGCACTCCTGCAGGTTGCTATAGGTCTCTTGGCTACACACCAGAGCTCAGCCCAACATAGGGAGGGGTGAGGGCTAAGAAATCAGAAGAAACACATCAGGAAGCGATTCAAACACCCTCCCAGAAAGGGGCTTCCATCAGTCCCTCCAGGACCAGCCATGCACAGGTTTTGAGAATCTGCATCACCTGTCAGTGCAGTCCAAAAGCTGCAGAACCTTCTCCCCGCCAAAAAATCACTACACATAGTTGGCAAACTTTGCTGAAGGTTGGTGGAACTCTAAAAAAGCAACAGTGGCCTCCCATTGATAGGAAAAGGAAGCAGGTGGTGTGAGGAGGCAGGACAACTGGAGGCCCTCTCAGTCACTCACAAAGGTAAGAGCCTCTCTTACCTCTGCAATCTCCGAATTGCAGTCAAACAGAGCATCATACAGTGCATCTTCAAAGACAACCTAGCCAGGCATGGTGGCACATAGCTAGAGTCCAGGAACTTCTGGGAGACTGAGGCAGGAAGACTGCAAGTTTGAGCCCAGCCTGGACAATTTAGTAACTGAGAGAGATCCTGCCTCAAAACAAAAAAGAGGGGCTGGGGATGTAATTCAGTGGAAAGGCCCTGGGTTCAGTCCCCCATACTCGGCGCAGGGAAGCAACCTTACTGCTTCCTAGATGTACCCACAAGGTAGTGCTTCTTCCAAGCAAGAACAAGGAAGGTCAGCTGTCAGCTTCTTCTACACATAGATTACAAGGCTGAGACTTTTGTGTTTGTAATTTTATCATTAAGTCAACTTGAAAACAGCTCGTGATCACATGAAGAAAAAAAATGTCCTCATATAGTGAAGCAGCTGTTCGGCCTCAAAGCCAGTGCTGGGTCCTCGTGCGTGTGTCGAACAGGTAATCTCTGCCTGTACCTGGGCCCAGATGACCAGAAGAGAGAGACAGAGACAGGTGGGGAGAGAGAGAGGCAGAAAGACAGAGACAGAAGAGGAGGGAGGGAAAGGGGGATAGATCACTGTGGTCTCAGCAGAACTTCCTCCCTCCCCTAAAGGTAGGGGAATACTCTCCAGCCCCCTCAGGTGACCCCCTTTCTGCTGGAATCCAATGTGCCCCCTCCCTTCTCAGAAAATTCCCTAAGATCTGACTCAAATGCACCGAAGCCTCCCTGATTACCTAACACTGGACACCAATTTCCCTATGGCCAGCTTGCCAGACTACTCTGCCATAATTCACTAGCGATGTTGGAGCATGTGGAAGTTTCTCCCTCGTCACCTTCTCCCCTCCCCTCGGGAGCAGGGACCAGAGCAGGTCTGAGTCATCTCCCGGCCACATCATTTTTGACAAAGATTGGCTGAAGGGTAAATGGGGGTGAGAGTCAACCCATCAGTGACAATGTAGATGGTGGCTGCTTGGTAGTAGGGGAAATTCTGGGATGGGCCGAGGGCCCAGGTAGACAGTGACTTGGGGGAAGGGGTACTCACGAGCACCCTGTGCTTTGTCATCAAAATGCTCCTGAGAAGAAAGCGAGATGCTGAAAAGCAGTGAGGCTGGCCCACAGGGAGCAGACAGAGAACTGCCCTGCGGGCGAGGAGCCTGCCTGCCTCCCCGGTGGCGCTCCCACTTTCACAGGCAAGGGAGCAGGTCCGGCAGGGCCAGGGAGTTGACATACCAAGCTTAGGACACTGCTGGCTGCCTGCGACATCTCCATTCTTGGTGTCTCCATGAACCCCTCAGTGGATCTTTCTTTTCTTTGAATGCTGGTGAAAAGTCAGAGCAAGAGGATAGTATAAGGCCCTGGTCCCCAGCCTGAGCTTAAGAAGTGGGCTCCCTAGCCAGATGTCATGGTGCAGCCCTGTAATCTCAGCACTCTGAAAGGCTGAGGCAGGAGAATCACAGGTTCAAGCCCAGCCTGGACAACTTAGTGATTTAGTAAGACTCTGTCTCAAAATAAAAGAAAATAAAAATAAAGGACTGGGGTTGTAGCTCAGTGCAGAGGCCGTGGGTTTCTTACCTAGGAGTGCAAGAAAATAAAATAAGAGGTGCACTTGAAAGTACAGGAAGTATGCAAAAGAGACTGACCTGTTTAGCAGAAGAGCCTTCCCTGACTTCCTTGGTGCCTGCAGCACCTGGGCCAGCCTGAAATGACAAGAGGAGGAACCAAGCAGTGAGAACAGGCCTGCTGGTATCAGGAACGTGTGTGGTTCATCTGTCCCTTTATACTGGGGACAGTGAGTGTTTGTGTTTGTATGCAATGCCCACATTGTTATCCCCCTCCCCTCGGCTCAGTCCTGCACCCACAGGAACTTCAGTCCACATGAGCAGAGCGGGTTTGAAGTGGAGAACAGGGGTCAAGAATAAGTGTAAATGGCCCATGCAAGACTGACTGAAGAGCCTCAAGGCCTGGGCCATCCACACCCATCCTATCTCAAAACTGGGCTCTAGCTGGGTGTGGTGGCACATGCCTATAATCTCAGCACTGAGATTATAGGGGAGGCTGAGGCAGGAGGATCGTTGCAAATTTGAGACCAGCCTGGCCTACAAAGTGAGCTCAAGGCCAGCCTGAACTGCATAGCAAGACTGTCTCAAGAAGAAAAAAAAAGGCTGGGCTCTACCAATGAAGGATGCTACTTCCTCCTAATGTCTGACTCCAGTCTGAAGACCTCTGAGGGACAGCAGAGCCCTCTTCAGTACAGCTTGGGCCTTGTCATCAAACCTTGGGAGAAACCACCTCTACCAACGGGGCAGTGGGTAGAGGAGGCAGGGAGCACAGGAAAAGGAGCCCTACCCCCAAAGCAGCTTGCGGAGAAGCCAGCCCAGAGCTAGGAGGACAAAGGCACTAGTCACTGTCAGTACCACCACAAACCAGGGCTCTGGCTGCCAGAAAATTTCTGTGTCTGTCACAAGCTGGGGTATCATCCTTGAGGGCACCTGAAATGGAGACCACAACCTTACCATGGCCCTGCAAGGATGCCTGACCACGCAGCCTTCAAAACTCTGCCCAGGCTGAGCTGCCCCACACCCCAGATCCGCACTGCTGGAGTCCCAGGCTCTTTGCACCGAGCAGTCTCCTCCAGAATGCAGTGCCTTCCCTACCATTCCACCCGAAGGACTAGGCCTCCTCACCCATCAAGTTCCTCCCTCCCCAGCCCCCAAGGGCTCGCGGCCTCCTCACTATAGCTCTGTGAGTGCTGGTGGCCGTTGTGCTGGCCCTCCAGGGAAGCAGATGTACAATGATGGTGGCCGTGGTGCTGAGGTGGGGGCTGGAGGAGCCGGCGTCAGCCACACGGATCACTAGCTCATAGGTACAGGGCTGCTGTGGCCAAGGAGGTCCCAACACAGGGTCATTATGCACCAGGGTAGCCCCTTGCAGTCTGAATCGGCTCTGACTATTCCCTGAAAGCAGAGTGGCAGGAGAAAGGGACCACTGTTGGCCTTGGCCTGGCCCTCCTCTACAACCTCCTGGCCCCCGCAACCCATACCTCCCACAATGCTGTAGGACAAGGCCAGGCGCTGTGGCTCCTGGAGGATCCGGCAGGACATCTTGGTCACCTCCACGTTATGGCCCAGGGGAGTGGAGATGGTGAGTTCTTGAAACGGGGGCTCACACTCGGGGGCATGGTCATTCACATCCTGAAGAAAAGCCACCAGGTTAGAGGTGTGTGCAACCCAAGTCCACCCCTCCTCTTCCTCTTCCTACAATCAAAGCACAGGCATCATGCAAATCAGGCAACAGGTTCTGACACTTTGCACGGTGAGGCCCCTTCCCTCCAACCAACCAGAGGAAGAACCTAAGGCACAGCACCGAAAACCGAAGGCCAGAAGCCTTCCCAAGGCCTCAGTTCAGTCACCTCAACCTCGATGGTAATGGTACAGGACCCCGAACGGCGGTGCATGGGGTCCCTATCTTGACCGTGGTCGATTACCAGGACAGTGAGCCTGTGCGACCTCTGCTGTTCATAGTCCAGAGGCCCCAGAAGGAGAATTTCCCCTGAAGAGGATGGTCACAGCCTCAGCCCAAGAGCCAGCCTTGCCCCCACCCCTCCTCCCAGCCCTGGGAGGAAGTACCAGAGAGACGGTCCACAGCAAAGATGGTGGATCCACCAGAGGCGTGGTATTCAAGGCTGTTCCGAGGGTAATCCATATCCGTCCCCACCACAGAACCCAGCAGGGTGCAGGGCCGCGCATCCTCACGAACCCGGAATGTACGTGGGGCACAGGTTGGGGAGAACTCATTCATGGGTGTCACCATCACCAGTACTGGCACCTCAGCTGAGGGCCATTTGGGAGTCAGGGAAACTGGCGGGGGTGCACCTGGCCTTGCCCTGGGGTTCTGAGCAAGGAGGTGTCCCCCGCCCTGGGCCACTAAGGAGTGAGAGGAGCTGGAGAAAAAAGGCAACGGAGGTGACGCTGTCTATAAGGTCAGCTGGGCTTCTGAGGGAGAAAAGAGGTCTTTGTCTCCCGCATGGGCGGGTAGAAAGCACAGCCTGGTCCTGAAAGTCCCGTGCTGAGTATGGTTACATACTGGTCATCTGGGGCTGACCGCTGTCATGCACAAGGATGGAAGCTGCAAACTGGAAGTAGGCTCCAGGAGTGTCACAGTCCAATGTGGTGTTCACCTGGCCAGAGAGGGCAGAGGGAGGGCTCAGCCCAGGCCTGGGAGAGCCTCAAGCCACACTGGGCTGCCCCAGGCCGGGGCATCCTGATCTTGATCCTGTCTTATAGACTACAAAGCAGGTGAGCTCAACACCACTCCTCCACCCCTACCTCCAAGCTCTCTCAGTGGCCCGCCCACCCCTTCCTGCCCCAGGCAGCCTACAGGTGGGCTGAGGGCCAGTGGGGGCTGGCACCTCAAGGACGCGGTCATGAAGGCAGAGGCTGGCAGGATGGGAAGGGCTGTGAAGCCGCAGCTGGTAGTGCAGGTTGGTGTCAGGAGAGTCGGGGTCGGTGCACGTGAAGGTGCTCAACACGGAGCCCACAGGTGTGGCCTCAGGGACTTCAGTCCTGGTGGTGAGGGCGGAGGCGGGGCAGGAGTCTCGCCCAGCAGAGAGCCGCGGATCTTTCCCACAGCTCAGGCGAGGCTCCCGCTACTCACACCAGGAGCGCCGGGTGGCAGCGTGGGGGCCAGCGGTTGACCGGCCGCACATTCACAGTGAGGATCAGCTGGGCACTGGCCCAGGGCTGCAGCCGCTCAAAGGCCCTCACGAGAAGCCTCGTGCTGGCCGCACCCGTGCCCAGGGTGCCTGTCAGTTCCAGGGGCACACTGGTCCGGACCACCCCATCGGCTGGGCTCGATGGGAAGGGAGGAGGCATCTGTTCCGCCCCAGCTCACACCACCCCCCACGCAACAGCTCCAGCTGACAAAGCCACTGACGCAGCCTTTTCACCTCCTCCTCCAAGGCCAGGACCCCCACCAGGATCGAAGGCCTGGCCTAGGAAGGGGAGGTGGTGACAGAGCTTCCGGGTACCCACTCTCCCTGAGCCCCTTACCACGGCCGATGGAGTAGAGCCGGCTGGGCACTGGGGAACAGATTTCATAGCGCAAGTCAAAGCCGGTCGCCTGCACCTGAATCACCTCGCTCCCAGGGACAAGGTTCTCAGGAATGGTGATATTCTGGGTCTTGTTTCTGGACCAAAAGTGGAGGCCTGACTCCTGCCTGCTCCTGTGCATCCCGATGGGGTCTCCAGGCTCCTCCCAGGGGCTCCCTTCCCATAGAGCCAGGATGCTCCCACAGCCCAGTACCCTATCCCTGCTCCTGATTCCCCAGGACCACGCACTGCCTCCCCCACTGCTCCAGGGCAGGGGACCCTTACAGGAAGGAGACCTGGCTGGAAGGAGCACGCAAAACCTTCACCGTCAGCATCCCTTTGCAGCTTTGGCCTTGTCCAAAGGTCACTGAGATTTGCAGCTGGAAGACCTGAGGTGGGTACCACGTAGGAAAGTGGATCATGGGATGTCCTCGCCTCCATGTTTACCCGCAGTCCTCCCCCGGCAGCCTTCACAAGGACGCCAGTATTCATTCTTCCCCCGTGACCTGCCACTGTGCTAGTCTCACTCTTCCTGTGAGCCCTGAGCCCTGAACGTCTGGGCACAAATTCTTCCATGAGGTTGCAAACATCTCAGGAAAGCATAACGTCGCAGTCATTCACAGCTACACTGTTAGAGCGGAGTTGCTGAGAGCCAGTTACCAAGAGGTGGAGCTGCTGAAGAGGGAACTTCTCTCACTCAGCAGTGGCCACTTTACTCAGAACTTTCTGTTAACGAGCAATTGCCCTGAAACACTCTGCTTTCTGCTAGAGGGCCTGTGGGCCCCCAGGGCCAGGAACCATTTCTCTTTCTAGAATTTCAGAGCCCAGCACAGACCCCAGCCAAAGTGAAAGGGCAGTCAGCATAGCGTGGCAGGTGTAGGCCTGCGAGAAGCAGCGTTAGTCCAGGGGTCAAGGGGGCTAACAACAAACAAACTGTCAGAAAGTGATGGCTCTGCGCAATCTGCAGATATCCCCAGATGCCAGGTCATGCTCACCTTTTCAGCCTGGCCTTTAAGGCCCTGGGATGGCGCCCGCAGCAAGCCCTTTTCACTGATAGAGAAAGGGCCGGGAAAGTTTGGAGGGTCCTGGGCACTGGTGATGTTCATCTGACAGAACAGAGAATGCAGCAACTCCATGCAGCCCTCAGTGCCCCAAGCACCGCCGTCACCACCCTTGAACAGCTCAGGCGGCACCTGCACACCCGGGCCTCTCGGGCCCTCCTCTGACTTCTGCCCCAGCCTAGGCTCCCTGCCCTCCACCCTGAACCTGCTCTGATCTTCAGTTCTCTCTGTTTTAAAAGTACTTATTTTTAAAAACGAATTTCTTTTTTGGGAGTACAACAGTGATATAAAACCACCAAGGAGAACTCAGAACTCATAGGAGAACTGGAAAGGAGAGCTCAGCCCCTAGGATGTCCCTGTGGGCCCAGCCCCGGCTCCTGGGAGGGTTGGTGGTTCTTCCTGGCTCTCTCCAAGAACATGCACCCCCGGGCCCGACGGTGTGCTGCAGGGTCCTTCTGCAGGGTGCGCCTTGCCAGAGAGACGCTGTGCTCACTCTCCACCCTTCCCCCGCTCAGCCTGTCGTCCGCGCTGGCCTCACCTGTGCTCCCTGGACCTCCAGGCCTGGGATAAGCAATGTGTACAGCAGGGCTCCGGGGCCGACCATCTCCGGCACCTGAACGATTTCCCCAGCTGCCCAGAGGGGAGGTGAGGGAGGCTCTTTCCAAGCCGTGCCTGCCCACCCCCGCCTACAGCCCTGGCCTCACCTAGGCTAAAAAATCTCCCAACACACTGGACACGGCCAGGGTCTCGCTGCACATCCACATAGAGCGATGCCTCCTCCGCACGGTTTCCACATGTGTATTTCAGCCGCAGCTCGTAGTGGTTCACTGCGAGGGCGTCCAGCCGGGCAGAGCTGCTCAGGGTCACCTGTGGCGGGCAGGCAGTAGCCTGTGGTGTCCAGGCTGTCTCCCTACAACCCCTCCAGCCTCTGCAATTTCAAGTCTGCCCCGGCGCCCCCACAGTGCCCAGGTGTAGCCGTCATCCTACCTTTGCCACGTAGATCCCCTCTCGCCCAGCAAGGCTGGGTGTGTTGAAGAAGGTGGTGGGCGGCCGCACGTGGAGCAGCTCCAGGGCGGGCGTGTGGGAGGAGCAGTTGAAGGTGAACGCCTGAAGGACAGTGCCAGGGCCCTTGCTCTCGGAGACATTCACAAACCAGGGCAGGCTGTGGAGGCCTGTGAGGAGCAGAAGCTCAGGCTGGAGGCCCCCACGTTCCAACAGCCACACAGGCAAGCACAGCCCCAGCCTTTTGCCGTAGGACCTGGCCACGTCTTAGGGCCAAATCCCCAAGGTCCTTCCTGGTTTCCACATCTGACATTTCACAGACGGGGAGAGAACGTGGAGGAGGAAGCAGCCAAGCCAAGGAGCAAGGCTCAGGGCTTCAGACCCTTACCCCTTCCCGCTTCTCCCCCTGCCCTCCCTCAGCGGTAGCCCATGAAGGGTCACAGCTATGAGGGCAACTGGGGCTTCCCTACCCACCAGCTCCTCACCAGAGACAGCCAGAGCCAAAAGAACCACCAGGAGGCTGAGCAGAACCATGGTGGTGTGGAAAGATGGCGGGGGAGGCTGTTGCCAGGCCCACCCGTTGCCAGGTCAGTTGCTCAAACAGAGCTGGCCCCGCCCAACCCCCTGTGACTGCGCTGAGCCCTGGCAGACCTCCAGAGGCCTGCAAAATCTTGTCTTCCACAGTCCCCACTGAGGACGCGCATTTGTGACCACAGCTCAAGGAGAGGTGAGGAGCGAGGCATCAAGCGGCAGACTACCATGTTTCCCCCAAAGATGTTCATGATATCGGCCATACCCCAAAAATAAGCCCCCGTTGAGATCACCAGCCAGACAGGTGCATTTGGTATGTGCCTTGCTACACACAATGGATGTATTGAATTATAAAATAATAATATTAATATATAAATAAATAGTATTGGTATTAACACTTAAAATAAATAATATAAATTATAATTATTTGTAAATACCCAACTGGATGCCTTTGGATAAGAGGTAAAGGCCTATGCAAATAGACAAACTCAGATCAGGTGTGGGGGCACATGGGTGTAATTGCAGGAGGACCCTTGCAGGAGGACCACTGCAAGTTCAAAGTCAGCCTGGGCTACGAAACGAGTTCAAGGCCAGCCTGAATTGCGTAGTGAAAATCTGTATTAAACAAGACAAAAAACAAAACAAAACAAAATAGAGGAGCTCAAGACTTATTGCTGAGTGACCAGCACATAGACACAATGCACATATAATATGCACTCTTGACAGTCAACAAATGTGGCGTCTATTATGACTCTTCACAATTCCATACGCCATGCATTGTGAGAATACACTGTGAGCAGGCTACACGAACATAAGGTCCTCATTTACGGAGGGCTCTATTGCTGGACATGAGAGACTGGGGCCAGTGGTTCTATAAGAAGTGGAGTTCGTAGAAATTCAGGCTGGAATTTGAGGTTTGGAGAGCTGATGGTTGTCTAAGATACTTTTCTCTCATTGCTGAGACAAAATACCCGATGCCCAAAATTAAGGAAGGATTCATTTAACTCACAGTTTGTGGAGGTTTCGGTCCATAATCAGCTGGCTCCAAGGCAGGGTGGTACATGGCAGAGGGGCAACGGTTCATGGTGGCAGAAGACAGCAAAAGCAACGAGAGCAAAAAGTGGGGAGAGAGGGAGCAAGTTTCTTTCCCTCCCTCATATTGTACACAAGCTGCCTGCTCCAGGGTGGGTGTAGCACTCACACCCGTAACCCCAACACTGGACCATGAATCAATCACACACTCCAGAAGCCCTCCCCATGACTGTGTGAGGCTTTGGGGAGACCTTAAGACACAAACCATAACAATGATGTTTTAGAAGATGACATGGCTGTAGTTGAATCAATGTAGATTTTTTTTAACAATAAATGTAGATTGTTGTACATGAATAAATATAGATTCTTATACATGAAAAAATAAGACAGCCCCTGAAAATAAGCCCTACTGTGTCTTCTGAAGCCAAATTAAGTTAAGATCTGATCTTATTTTGGGGAAATATGGCCAATCGGGCACAAGGTGGCTTCTTGGGTGGCTGAGGATGTGCTTTGTTTTCATCTGGGGTACAGCCGCACAGGTGTCCCAGATTTCAGCACTTACTGAGCTGCATCTTTGGTGTTTCACCACTTATTCTAGTTATATGGCAGTATTTTGCAGTCCTGGAGCTTGAACTCAGGCTCTTCTCACTGAGGTACCTCCCATCCCTGGCTCTCTATTTTTTATTCTGAGATAGGTCCCACTGTTTTGTTTTTTTTTTTATTTTTTGGGGGTTTTTTTGGTTTTTTTGATAGGTCCCACTGAATGGTGAAGTTGCCCAGACTGGGCTTGAGTTTGCGATCCTCTTGCCTCAGCCCCGGAGTGCTGGGATCACAGGTGTGTGGCACAGCACTGGCTATCGTGTCAGTTTCATAAAATTTTCTTCCCTTGCTCTTTAGCTCCTCACCTCTCATGCTCTTCTTTACCCATACCAGTCAGAGCTGTCCATTTCTCCCCCAAAACTCCCCTTGCCAGGGACCTCAGTGACCTGCAAACTGCTATAGTCATCAGTTTTGTTTTGTCCTATAATGGAAACTAGGTATGTTGCCCAGGCTGGCCTTGAACTCTAGGGCTCAAGGGATCTTCCTGCCTCAGCCTCTAGAGTCACTGGGACTACAGGTGTTACGCTCTGCCCAGATATGAAGGCAGGATTTGTTCTCCACCCAGCATTTGACTCTTGCCCCCTTGGCTCCTAAATCCCCGCCCTCTCCCACCTCCCTGGCTGCTGTTGCTCAGCCTTTGCCTGTCCGGCTTCCCCTTCACTGCTTCTGTGAGGGGAGTGCACAGGACTCCGCCCCTCCTGCTGGCCACACTCGCTTCCCATCTCATCCCGGTCCACGGCAGAAGCACATTCGCTGGCTCTTCCTGCAGTCCCGGAAGGCTCCAGTGCTGACAACGCCCCCGAACGCGTGTCGCGCACTTCGTGGCTGACCCTGCATCTCCTCCAGAGTCACACGTCCACACATGATCATTTGATTTCCCTCCCAAACCCACTCTTCTCCACTCTTTCCCAGATCAACGTGTGGCATTTCCATCCAATTAACTGCTCAGGCCACAAGTGCAGAAGTCATGCTTGATGTCCCTTCCCTACCCACATCATTGAGGCTTTTTTTTTTTTTTTTTTTTTGGTCTTTTTGAGACAGGGTCTTGCTATGCAGTTCAGGCTGGCCTTGAGCTCACTTTGTAACCCAGGCTGGTCTCGAACTCACAACGATCCTCCTGCCTCAGCCTCCCAAGTGCTGGGATTACAGGCGTGCACCACCACGCCTGGCTTTTGAGGCTTGATTTCAACTACAAAACACAAACAAAGTGATCGCTCTCTGTGTGCCTGCTGGGGCAGGTCCAGGCCTTTGTCTCCCTTGCCTGATTAGAATCATTCTCCCAAGCCAGCTGGGACTATTTCACCGAGCCAGGTCATTCCCTGCCAAAAGGTTTATTCTTCTTATCGAATCAAGAACAGTCAAGGCAGAGCATGGTGATGCATGCTTGTAATCCAAGCACTTGGGAGGCTGAGGCTGGAGACTCTGTAGTTCATGGCTAGCCTACATCACATAGGTTTCAAAACAAGAACAACAAAGAACAAAATCCACACTCTTTTGTAAGGCCACTGGGAGCCTTATTCTGGTGACCTCTTTGCTCCCTGTACCGCCACCAGTTGTACACACCTGGACCTTTTTATGTTTGGGCCGGCCCATTTCCCACACCTTAGGTCTTTATACCCACTTATCCCTTTGCCTAGAGTGCTCCTCCCTCTTCTTTACCTTTCCCTTCCTTTCTCTCTCCTTCCCTCCCTCTTTCTTTCTTTCCTTTTTCTTGGTACTGGTGATCAAGCCAGGGGCGCTCATTCTCTTTATTTTTTATTTTGAGACAGGAGCTCATTAAATTGCCCAAGCGGGACTCGGACTTGGGATCTTTCAGTCTCATCTTTCCAGTAGCTGGGGCTCCACATGTGCACCATGCGCCTAGATAGAATGTCCCTCTTCCTTTTTGTTAAATTTCAAGCTTATTTTATCAGATGCCATACAGTGGTATATATGTTACAGTCTTTTAATGACATAACTCTAAATTAAATTCATCTATGGAGCCAAGATATTAATTTTCAAACATTCATATATACAGCAAGCCCACTGACCCCCTCACTAGTACAGATACACATTTCATATTAGTATGTGACTAAATCCTATCCTTGTAAAGAGACTAACCATAAACTTCTTTTTAAAAAACAATTATTTTTGGTTCAGTGTCTAACAGCTCCAGTTTGCAAAATCTTTCCCTAGTCGTTCAGTCAAGGGTCTAACCAGATATGATCCTCAAGGCCTAACAAGGGGCCTAAGAGATGATTCTTAGTCCCTTAAATCTATTTTGTTGTTGTTGTTTTTGTGGGGTTTTTTTTTGTTTGTTGTTTGGTCGTTTTTTTTTTTCTGGTACCGGGAATCAAACTCACGACCTCGCGCTTGCCAGGCAGGTGCTGTGCCGCTGAGCTAAATCCCCAGCCCCTTAGTCCCTTAATTCTAAAGTGCACAAGATGCTTAAATTGGCAGATATTAAAAGCCAAGTAGGAATTTGAAGGCAACTGATCCTAGACTCTCAAACATCGAGCTAGTATATTCACCCTGATCTTCACATAAAAGCATCACTGAAGTAAGCGGGGGTCCACTTGAGAATGCCTCTTCTTGGTCTCATGGCTCAGTCGGATCGTACCCCGATGTCCCTTCCTCTGAGGGATCTCTCTCAAACCAGCTCATTATTCTTTACTCCCCCATATTTTCCTGTCTGCTGATAGGTCCACTCTGTCTCCAGGTAGACTGTACCCTTGAACCCAGCCTCCGATCCTGGAGCGACCTCACGGGACGCGCAGGGACGTTCCAGTGGGAGGGCGCCACCCACCCTGCTTTAGCCTTGACCCCTAATCCGCGCTCCAGGGGGAAGAAGGGAAGCGGGTGGCTGTGCTTCGCCGCGCTCCCGCTAGAGGGCGGGCCAGCCCAGCGTGGAGCGGACGCGGCGGAGAGCGCGCCCGCCGACTGGGACCTCGCCGAGGCCGGGACCCTAGGGCCGCGAGGGGCTGCGCTCCCCGAGTACGCAGAGAGGCCGAGCTCCAGCCCTCGCATTCCCGGGGGCCTCTGAGGCTAGTGCTCGCGTGGGCCCGACGATCGCCGTCTGTCCGCCCCACGCGGGCGCTGCACGGAGTCCTCCCGGAGGGACCGCTATTCCAGCGAGGGACAACCGGGAAAGCCGGGCGCCGCGATCGCCCCGCCTCACGCACCGCTGGGCTCAACTCTCCGGGCGTCGGGGTCCCGGGCGGACCCCCAGCCGGCGTCGCCCACCGCCGCGCC